ATTAACAACACTTAAAATGCCTGCAGCGTTTTCCTTTAATACAAGTGGACAGTCCTCTGTGTTTTTGCTCCTTTGGCCGTGTTGTTCTTGTTGTATTTGTATTTGTATTATATGTATTTTTTTCGCATTCGCCACAGCCAAGGCAACTTTTTTGTAGAGCACACTTGAAGCGGCTCTGTGCCAAAAACTTTGTCAAGGGCTTTCGCTTCGCACTCTAAACTCATTTTGATTTAGTCGTCGCTTAGTTTCCTTTCACTGTGAATTTAGTTTATTTAACAACTGAATACATTGTTAAATATATATGTGCAGGTATATATATATTTATAATTTTTTGTAAAGCGACAAGTGTAAATGGGCGTAATTTATTTAGCGCTTTGCATTCGCTTTCAGCTGTGAGGCACGACTCAGGTGTGAAAATCCTGAAAATCGCTGTCTTTAAGTCCCCAGGCAGCGCATTTAAATGCAGACACATTAAAGGCGTGGCAGCTCAACTACAGCAGCAGCGGTCAGCCACAGTGACTGGTGATAAATGAGACTTTAATGAAAGTGAAAATTTAAGTTAACCTTTGGACAAGTTAAAAATATTATAATATTTTATTTTAGACTCGAGAGCTAGCGGCATGTTACCATACAAAATATTTAAATATTTAATTATCATTCGTTATATATTCTTTTCTAGCTGGCTTTATTGAAGCCAAAATAGAATGTTAGCTGAACTAGAGATTCACGTTGAGGCAGGCAAGATAAGTCCTCTTTAAAGAGTCTATTTCGAGTACTATATACATTTGAATTTATTTAGTTAACAAAGCTGATTCATCTAAAAATTGTTGGCCAAGTTTGACCAAGTAAAAACGACTTGGAGCTGAGAGCATTTTTTCTTCGAAATTACTGCGTCTAATTTATTTGCACTTCACTTTGCGGCTCCTGGCAAACACTTGAGGAGCCAACGCGAAGACTGAAACCGAGGGTATTTTTTCGCCAAAAATAAAGAAAGAAAATATATAAAAAAAATTGTAATCCACATTTTATTAGACAGCTTAAGAGCGACTAAAGCGCATTCATAAAAACAAGCCCAAGTTCTGGCATAATTGCCAGCAAATTAGTTTGCTTTTGCGTGCTGCACTTGAGCGAAATAATTCGCATGCATTTTCTTGGCGAATTGTCTACGGGGCAGCAGGAGGTTGGCTTTTTGATTTAAATTTGCACATTCAGTTTTTTCCGGTTGCTGCTGCATCTTTAGTAATTTTTGCACATTTTTTTTTTTTTTTTTGTGTCTGTGAAAAGTTGGTCAGCTGGCTGGCTTAATTAGAGCTCGCAGTGAGAGTCCGCCAGGGAGCTGGGACTGTCTCTGCGGCTTCGCCTTTTCTATATCTTGTAATGCCATATGTCCAGTTGGCAGTCGAGCTGAGTTAAACACAATTACACATTCCATTTTGCTCTTCTTCTCTCTTATTCATTTTGCTTTGCTATGTAATTTTGCTCTATTCTTTGCAACTTTCACTTTTCTGCAGTGCGTGGGCTATCTGCTTTGCTCGCTCTTCAAGTGAGTGGAGCATATTGGGTGCCAATTGGCAGAGTAAACAGCTCATCTCCACTAAGAGATTTACTAATGAGAAATTTGTAATCTATGAGTCAATCAAAAAAAAAAAAAAAAAAAAAAAAAAAAAAAATCCTTTAAACTTTTTTATTTTACTTCTTAAAGCAATTGTTATTCAAGAAGCGAGCATTTCGCAGTTGGGAGTACTCAAGTGCATCGTACTTTTCGAGCTTATCTTCCTGGTAGGCGTGGCATTTAAAAGTAATGCTCTGCAAAATGCAATTATGTAAATGCCTGCAGCGCAGAAATCGAAGTTAATTAGGTCGTAACTGTGGTGCAAATTGTAACTCCCCCGGCGGCACGAACCGCTCGACGGGCACGGGTCGAATTGCTCGGATAGGAATTAGTGAAGCACAAAATTGAAAGGGTCATAAAAATGTCAGCTCTCTGGCTCGGCATTAAATGCGAGCATGAAATGTTGAACATGAAAAATGCCAAGCGGCCTGCGGGCAAAAAGGTTCATAATATAGTTAAGTGGATTTATTGATGTGACTTTCGGTTCAATGTGTGCTTGGCTTGGCATCTCAATAACGATTTCCAATTTAAAGCACTAACGAAATCCAAAATAAATTCAGTTTTAGCTACAAAACAGCTCAAACGAATTGCAATTCTCGGCTCATGGATATATTTGATACCAAATAACAACGAATTTTGTCAATTGCCATTTGTATTGAAATGTCAATGAAATTGTATTAAATATGTTTACGATTTATTTAAAATTGTGTACATAGCATTTGGCACCTAGTGCGTCATAAATCACAAACACACATACAAGCAGAAAGAGACCGAGAGAGAGAGAGGCATAGAGTGAGAGAAAAGCGTAAAGAGTCAGTGGGGTAAAGGGAGCGCAATAAAAACATATATGACATGCTCATAAATGAATTGGGCTCTGATTTAGAACCATAACCAACTGATTTACATATGTACAAATATTTTTAATAATTGCAAACATGTCCTTGGCAAAACAAGTAAAAGTGCTTCATACAGCATTGCCAGACTAGGTGCTACCCTATATTGAAACAGAACAGAAAATATATGTCTATATTATAAATGAACAGCAAATATATCTCTATATAATTATATTTTATAAATAGTAGATAATGTTTCATTCTCATTTTAAGCATGGATTGAATTGATATATTGAATGTTACTTTCCAGCTTAATAGTCAAGAGCATGAGCATTCACAAAGTTTAATATTTACATTCATATATTTATACCACTCGAGAAGCTTAACATATTGCAAGTAAGTTTTACAAGAAATCTATATAGAATTTAAGAATTGTGTACTTCAGAGACTTCCTAAGAGAATCAAATAGAATGACCAATTGATGTATTCAACTGTCTTAAATGCATACCAAAGATTATCAGCTCCTTCTCACTCAACCAATCGTTAAACAGGGTATATCGAAAAATAAATATATATATTTATATTCACAAATATATGGACGCTTGTCATTGGGCAAATAAATTAAATATATGGAATAAATTATGCACGCAGTTTGCTCACATATAAATAGCGCATATACAAGGGATTTGCATATTTTTAGATGCCTTTAATTCTCAATTCCCTTAACTGATAATTTCGGGCAAGCGGAATTCCAAATGCGTTATTTAAAGAGATTTTCGATTGTAATAAATATTTTGATTATGCATTTGCAATTTGCGAATTGCGAGTTTTTACATTTTGCTTAATATGTGAGCAAACAAATGCAATTATGGGCATATAATTATAATATTTGCCAATGGTTAAATGCATTTAATTAAGCGCCTGCATTTGCCAAATTTACAAGTTTAATTGCGCATTTGTATACACACGGCTCGAAGGCATAGATAGCATGTATATGTATGTATATATTGGTTTTTTCTGCCATTTCAGAAAATAAAATAAAAATTTGGTTCGGCTGGTTTGACTTGGCCCATTGATTATTTTCAGCACAGAGTCTGCTGGTTGGGGTCTTCAATTTTAATTAACTTGCAATTAAAGCGTAATTTATTGGCGCACTTTGATGGTCGTAAATTAGCTACTCGAACGACTTTCCAAAATGTCAGAGCGTGAGCAAATCAATTTATAAAAGCCCGTGCAAGCAAAAGTGAAGCCAAAAAAAATAAAACACACGAAAAATTGAGAGCTTGTAGCAAGTCAGCAACGAAAGGTCTAAGGCCAAGTGAGGCGAGATTTTTTTTGTTCTGTGTGCCGCTGCGAATCGTTTTATGGGGCGTATGAGCAACCCACCACAGTGTGACTGACGTGTGACCCACACACAGAGCGATGGGTAGCGAACAAGAGAGTTGTGAAAGAGTGTGAAACAGAAAAAGGTTACACGGTTTGTTTGAGAACTGGCCATCACCTTTAAACGTTTTTGCCCCACACGATGAAGAAGTCAAACAAGTCACTTAGCTGCTTCTGCCAACAGAGATGCAAAATTGACTGCCCCGAAAAAAAAAAATAGCAGTGAAAAGGAAAAGCGGAAAACTTTTTGGTTGGCCAGAAGCCAAACTGATTTAAGACTTTAAGTCAGATTGTGCACAGATATTGGAGAGGTGCACTTAGACTAAGTGAGAGAGAAAGAGATTTGTGGCAGGAAGTGTCCGATAAGAGCATCAAGCTGACTCTGCCCCATAGGGATTTCACGGATAAATAGCCGAGGGACTCGTGCGACTGATCAAACTGCATAGGTAATTAATAAACACAAGGAAACGGAACTCAGTCGAGTTGAAAGCAGGGGCTGAAGCTGATTTTGTGGTGGGCGGTCGGTAGATGGACACCAAATAGATGAAGATAAGTGGCTTTAAATAAAGTCTATGGGAATGGATATATATATTGTATATATTGGCTTTAACTTGTACGCAAATTGTCAAGCAGGCACTGTGAAGAATTTGTAGTCTTTGAGAGCAATTAAATATAAAGTTGCATATTTGTATGTAAGGCATATATATAATATTTAATTTACATACAAAATAAATGCAAAGCAGATCATTCTAGTATTATTTTCAATATAATAAAATAAATGCAATAAATTGATTGCTTAAGAGAATATAAAAACATATTGATATGAATAAGCTAAAAGTCCGAATGAATCTATAAAAAATATATATTCTGATAAAAAAAAATATTTACAAACAAATACTAAGTTGAAGAGAACCATAAAAGTAACACATATGCATATCTATATATGTATAAAGAAAGGCAAGCAATGCTAATTTATGGTCTATCTTTATATATATCTCGTTAAATGATTTCTAGAATATGCTCTTTGCTTGATTCAGGCTAAAGGAACTGCATGCATAAATCTATCTTTAAGTACATCCATCTACGGCAGAGAGCAGTTAAGAGAACCAAAGAGAATGATCTGAATTCTACGACAAATGCGAGACTAGCTGAAAAATATTCAGAACAGTTGTCGCTTGAACGTCGATCGTGCCGCTTGTGTTGCAGCAGCTGAACGTGTGGGAAATGCTGTTCGTTAGCATCTGAGAGATACATCTTTTGCACGGTCTAAAAATAAACGGCGAAACTGAAAAAGGGGGACAAAAACAAACGCGCGCGACAATTGCAAAACATAGGGTCGGACCCCTAAAAAACCAAAACGTACAAATTTTATAAATATCAAGTTGAAAATGTGAATATAAATGGGAAATGGGAAAATGCCTATGTGAAAATGCAAAAGTGGAAACTTATTTATGCAATCGATTTGTGCATCCAAAAATGCTGTATTTATTTATCGGCGCGACAGCGAAATAAATATATAGTGTGCATATAGTATATATTCGGTCGATCAAAAGTATCCACGATTCAGATCAAAGTGGCCCGCAAACATAATAAACAAATCATGCGGAAAGCCCATTCCGTAAATTGGTAAATGCAAATTGCCAGAAATTGATAATGCGTATAATTTTTGCGAAATTAAATCAGCAAAAAAATAAAATAAATAAAAAAATTTTAAATTGAAAAACAAACAAAAATAATGGGAGAAATCTGTGAGCAATGCAAATATTTACAGTTCGAACCACAACCTGCAGGACTTTTATTGCAATTTACATTAATTAACGCGAATTTAAAATTTAATAAAACAGGAGGAAAAAAAACGAAAAAAAAAAAATTCATTTTGCAAATGCAAATCTGTTAAAGCGTATACATTTTTTGTTTGAATGTTCTGCTCGCCTTTTCCCACTTTGACGCACATCAACAGAATGTTTTCACTTAATTTTTATGATATTGTGTTGCAGATAAATATTTCATACGTTCAGATACTTATACAGAGAGCAAATAAATAAACAAAAGCGGTGAATATTGCAGCGATAAACTGACGTCAAGCGATGGACAAGCCGAAGCGTGAATATAATGTGTTCTCAAAACACAATGAAAAAAAACAAAAAAAAAAAAAAGCTGAAGGAATAAACAATATAAAATTCTTAGAAATTTTCACGTTTCGCTAGAAGTTTCCATTAAATTCTCTCTCACAACTTTGGCAACTGACTCCATTGTATTTACAGTCCTTTTAATACATTTCAAGCCTTCATGTTTTCTATGATTTTCTATTGTATAAAGGAATTTCAAAGTAATTGGATGCAGCTTTAATTCTGAAAATTCGTTTATCAACTGGGAAATATCTTCAATTGACAGCTCTCTATCTGTTGAATATATGTAAATGCAAGACAGATATGTAGAGCTCAAAATTGTTGAATTTGTAGCAGTTGTGTTTAACAAGAAGAGGAATAAAACATGATTTTTATAAAGAAATTTATTTTTGACTCTAGAGTTTCAGTTTTAATTTGAATAGATAGATCTGGAGAGTTCTTTGCCTTTCAATACAAAAAAAAAAAAAAAAAAAAAAACAAAATCTTTTCATATTTTCTTGTTTCTTTAAAAATTTCATCTGAAAATATGTAATTACCTTACTGTCATGTAAAGCAAATCAAATTAAAGTTCAATGTGTCAAATGCTTGACAATTATCTGGCAGTAAATAAAAAAGTTCTTATCGAATTACGATAATCAAAATTCAGCTTATGACGAATTTCAAAGTTGCCGAAGTAAAAAGTTTTTGAAGTGCGATTCAATATTTAAAAGATGTCTTCTATGTTTTAAAACATATTTATACACATATATAAATACATAACAGTATTTGCTTATAATTTCTTATGGAAGCTGTCAGTTAACTTGAAAGTTCGCGTCGAATAAGTCGAAGAAGTCAAATGTCAAATTTGCTAGAGTAAATATTTTACTGAAGCGCAATTCAATCTGCTTTAATATGAATTTATAGAAACACACATACATACATATATATGTATGTCTCTGTATACATGTATCTTTGTATATGTTTGTTTATCATTTCTTTTGGAAGCTGTCAGCTTTTCAACTTTTCAGCAAATATTTGTCTAGTTCTTTGTTTAATTTGCAGCAAATGCATTAAATGCTCAGCCAATATTACACTGCAATCAATTGTGCTGGCAAATCCCTCTTAAATCTCTGACAATATACTCTGCCACACACAGACGCACATGCATATCTATTGCCATGGTGTAAACAATTTGGCATTAAAATAGTTGTCCGAGTCGAGCCGGGGCATTTAAAAATGTTCTACATACACATAAAAGTATCTGAATATACATATATATTTATATATACTATATTTGCTTCACTTAATTTGCATGATAATGGGCCAGATTTATGCATTTGTGACGCCCACTTTTATACATATTCGCATGGGATATGGGAGGCGTTAGCGTTGGCGTTGGCATGCAGTTTTCTGGCCCGAAAATAAATCGCATAATTCGAAATAATTTTTGTGGCGCATAGTTTTTTTTTTTTTTTTTTTTTTTTTCATTTTCACTCGCTTTTTTTTTTGGGGTTTGTTGAACTTATTTCGCGTGGATTTTGTTTCGTTTCGTTGCGTTTTTATTTCGAATTTCTAATTTCTAAAATATGGCTCACCACCACCACCACCCACCTTAGCCGCCGCGAAGCCAACCAATTTTCGAGCGGGGCAGCTAAAATTAGTTGCAAATAATTTGCTTTGGTTGGGCTTGTTGTTCTGTTTTTAGGTTTCTCATTTTCAACTCTCTGCCACGCCTGGTTGCCACGTGTCAAATGTGACAGCTTTCAATGCGTTGTCAGCTCCCGATGCTAATTATGCAAATTATGTTGGCCCCAACTAGGGTCTAGGCGCCCCTTTGACATCATTTGCATTACAAATGCGAGCGCGATGTCCCCGCCCCGCCCGTCGCTGCTTTTATGAACAGCATATGATTTATGACATTCCGACGTAATGCACATTTGCATGCAGCCAGAGAATCTGTTTCTTTTTTCCTATATGTAGTTCATATTCAATATTTTGAAGAAAAATATTTATTTTTCATTTTGAGGAATAATGAGTGCAGAGTGTGTCAAACTTTGATTTCGGCGCTCGTTGCTCGTATATATAAATAAATTATTATTTTTTCTGTTCCTTCTTGTTTGTGTTTGTTTACGACTGCAACTGTATGTCGCCTGTGTGCGTGTGTGTGTGCAACATATTGTGGCAATCAGAAACATATTTGCCTCGCTTTTTTATTTCTGATGGCACTTTGTCCACATGTTTATTCATGAAGCTAGTTGACATTTTATTGTAGTATATATTAAAAAAAAAAAAAATAAATAAATAAATAAATTTCTTTAAAGTTAAATAAATATTTAAACAAATGAATATTATATGAGTAGTTAGATACACGCATAGTTAAATAGTATAAAAGGTTGATGGACAGATAGGTACACGTATAAATACAGGGAGAAATATTTTTATAAATGAATTATTTTAATGTATATTTAAATTATATAAATATATGCTTAACTTTGTATTTATATAATTAAATATGGAGCAATAGTATTTATATTTATACCATAAATATATAGAAATTTAGAGACAGATTTATACCTAAATAGTTTAGCTATTCAAACTAATGAAACTGTCTTCAATACTAGAACTGCTTCCCCTTCATCTCCAGATAAATACCTTTATCTTTTCTGCATTATATTCTAAATCTAAATAAATAAAATATATACATACAATATATATATATGTATATTTATGCTTTTATATTTCTAAGAAAATATATATATATATATAATTTATATAGATTTAAAGTATTTTTAGGTCTGCTACTTCTCCAATTATGTGACATCTATCTAACTTTTGATATATGCTAAACTATGTCCAATTCACATAATGCTATCTATCAGCAGGCTGCAGCAAGTACAAAGCATTTTCCAAATTGTTTTTGGGTCTGCTCGGACCGTGTGAAGTGGCCCGCGGACAGAGAAGAGCAGCGGCGGTGCAGTGGAGCAGCGGTGCAACGGCGACAAAGTAATCCAAATCAAATCAGTTTGCTTAACTCGCATTCCAATTGGAATGCGAAGAGTTCTTTGTCTTCGCCTTTTGCCAGCTGCCAGCTCTTGACAGTTGCTGCCAGTTTAGCTCGAGACTGCATTTTCAGTTCTGCTTCTTTTTATACTCATTCACGAAAGTGAATCAGTATATTGGTTTTGTGCAATGTCCGTCTTGCTGTCCGTCCGTCTGTCCGTCTGTCCGTCCGTCCGTCTGTCCGTCTGTCCGTCTGTCCGTCTGTCCGTATGAACGCAATCTATTTCGGCGCTATTGAAGCTAGAGACTTGAAATTTGGAACACATACTCGTGTATATCTCCGATTTATAAAGTGTTAAAATTTTCTCGATCCGCCCACTAGGGGCGTGGCAAATCGGAAAATGCATTTTCCGATATACCAGAAATCATATAAGTTGAAGAGCTAGAAAGCTGAAATTTGGTATGTAGGTCCGCATCGACAACCCAAGATCACAAGCTATGGCGGATATATCTACGCCCATTGGGGGCGTGGCAAATCGGATAAAACTGTATCTCCTAAAGTTGTAAACCTAGAATGCTGAAATTTTGCATGTCAGCTAATGTTATGATTCTATAAAGTCTTAAAATAAAATTATAAGTCTACACCCATTAGGGGCGTGGCAAATCGGACCTGAAGATATAGTGATTTTTCAAATTCTGCTATTTTTTGGACACTATTGATGCCAGAGATCTCAAATTTTGTATATATACTCGGGCTGATCACCCAAGACCAAAAAGCTTTGTCGGATATATGTCCGCCCACAGGGGGCGTGGCAAACCGCAAAAATGTATATCTCCTAAAGTATAATAGCTAGAAGCTTCAAATTTAGATAATTGAGTTACTGGTAGCCTCATCTATCGATTCCCCAAAAAATCATTTTTACGCCTCTTTAGGGGCGTGGCATATCGAAAAATACCCTGTAGTTTTCACTTTTTTTGAGAGTAAGCATTCAAACTTTGCAGTTAGGGTACTGTTATCTCGTTCTAGAAACTGACCAAAAATGAGGTGTCTACGCCCAGTAGGGGCGTGGCAAATCGGAAAAGCCTGTATATTCTACAGTATTAGAGCGAAATTTAACTACTAAATTGTTGATGAGATGTGAATGAGTATTCCGCAGTCGGTAACGCCCGACTGCAACGTTCTTACTTGTTTTGCTTTAGTTTTCTTTTCGATTTTCGTTCTTTTCGTTTTGTCATTTCCTTTTGGTTAGCACCAACGAAATTCCGAGGACATTTCTGTTGTGTTTCGATTTCGAGTTCTTTTTTACGCACTTGCAGTTTATTTTTAATGTTGCGCATTTTATTTAAATGCGGTGTCGAGCTGTCGTCTATTTATTGTTTACTTACGTGCTATTTTTAGCGAAGCGCATTTTCGTTTTCACTTAGTGAAACTGAATTAAGTGCTCAAATCCGTATATACTCGACGCTCAACAGCTGATATCACGATGTCCGAAATAGCGATGATTTTCCATTCAATAAAGCACTCTATAAATACAGCCCGAACAAACATCAGCTAACGCCGACTCAATTAGCCCCTACGCACATAAATATAGTAGATTTATGGCCCTCTTTCTGGAAGGGAAAACTACTTTCTCAGCCGCCCAAGTACTGGAAAAACTTCCGCAGCAAATTGAAAATTGACTCAAAAGTTAAAGCTAATGTTTTCAGCTAATGTACCTTGACATTTGTGCGCTTTGACTCTAAAAATAGTAAATAATTTCGTAAGATAAATAAAAGAATTTTTAATGTTTTCCTTTTGTTATTTTTAAAACATGAAGAGGGTATACTGGTCGTATCACAAAACATGTAACATACTGACAATGAAACATAGAGAAATTAAATCAGGCTTATCCTCAATGATTTAGAATTAGCAATATAATAGCTTATCAGATGAGTTGCTTAAAGTTTTCATTTAGCTTCTATTAAACTAGTAACTGGTGAATCATAACAGGGAAAATACAATTAAAATAAATCAATTGCATTATTATAAAAATTATAAGAAACCCAAATTAAATATGAAATTAAAACGTTCGTCATGCAAAATTATTTTTTAGGGTATTTTCAGATCGGTTTCCATTTTATTTATTGGTTTTTGGGGACCATTTTTTTATTCTTGAGCGCCAGCAGAGTGCAAAAAAATGTTAAGTGCAGCCGGAAATGTTGATAAATATATTATAAATAGATTTAATATTTTTATCTAGTACATATACACATATGTATATTTGCTTTAGCAGCAATTGAAACTAGTTTTGTTCTACAAATTTGGCTATAAAGTTAGTTTTTAGCTTGCCCCATATTTTGTTGTTGTTTCAGTAAGGTTTGTTGTTGAAATAAAAAATGCTTTTAGAGCGTCAAAGCGTTCTGTTTATTTTGATATATAGTCAAATACACTTATGCAGACACACATAAGCAAATATACATATGTGCACACATATATATCTATATCTAGCTATGCGGCACATATTACGCGTATGTTTCTATTTTCCGAGTTTGTTTGCTCGTAAAAAAACACAGAAAACAAAAAAATCATTTAAAAGTAATTTTTTGCGTTCCGTTTTTATTTAGGTATTCGCATTGATTTTGCCACTCGTGAATTTATGTATTTGTATTTGTATAAATAGCATTAGTGTCAACACATACGGGCGCATACAAAAGAGCCGTAAGAAGCTAATTGAATTTTTATTAGCATTTTTATGATTAATCGTCATGGGAAATGCTGCTATTTTTATCATTTGTTTATGCAACAGAGCAACAAATTGTGAATTTGAGACCAAAGTTTCAAATGGCATTCAGATTTTATTTGCTATGTGTCGGCATTTGAATGATGGACGTTTGTTCTGATCTCTATATGTGTGTGTAGTCATATATGTATATTCTTATATATGTATATATGTATGTATAATCGTTGCTTTCAGTTTGTATAGAAAATCGTTTTAATGCCAGCTCTTATATCATTCAGTGGAACTGATGTGAGCTTCAAAGTCTACAGTGCGTATTATTAAAGTTCAATTGATTTGATAATCCTTCAAGTGTGTGCTTCCAAGTAATTGATTTTTTGAGAGCTGCCACAAAACAGAACCGAATTGCAACATAATTGGCTGTTGTCGAGAAGCAAAAATAAATGCTCAAATTGGAAAAATGAACAGCACTTTGATGGAAAACCTCGTCAATGTGAAGTGAAAAAACCGAAAACGAAAACTAAAATGAATTGAGTGATGGGTGAAAAGAATGCTGAGGAATTTTAATTCAATTTGTTTGAAAAAATTAAATTATCAAAAATATAGTAGAAAAAGCTTATGCATAACTAAGTGAAAATAGAAATATATTTAAGAAATATTTAATAAACCCGAAATAGTTTCATTTAATTTGTTTCACTTGCAATGAGAAGCCAAATCATTTCAATATTGTTTGACATGAGTTGATCCGTACAAAAAGCTATTCAGCTTCATATTAAATCTCATATGGTTAGCTGTAATTTAATTTTAAATATAAAACATTCTTTGATACGAAATAATTCTTGGTATTTGATTTAATAAAATGCATTTTCCCTATGCCTCGGATGACCAGTTTTTCTTGTTTAGTTATTTGGCTAAAATAATAAACTCGAATACATGTTTAGCAACATATTAAGCCGGACGTTGCTGGACATTTGAATAAACCACAACAGCAACACAAATATTTGAGTGCAATTCTGAGAGCAGATTTGAGCTGTGTTTAATCTCTAATGCCTTTGACAAACAAAAGCGACAGAACGTAAATATTTGCTACGAAAGAATCACAAAAGAAAAGAGCTGCCAAGAAAAAATTAAAAAAAAAAAAAAATGAAAAAAACTTGAAAACAACATTTAAATTGTTTATAGCTTTGAGTTTTACCCAATTCGTATTTTCTTACATTTTTTCCATTTCTTTTTTCCGTGTTTTTCTTTCGCACAAAAGAAAACTGAATGAAAGTTTGCCGTGCAGCAGCAATGCAAGAGCCCAAGTACAGTAAACACTCGACAGGAAACATGTTAAAAATGTACAAGTAAATAAAGTGAGAGAACTATTCGGGGCATCTGGCAAATCCATGTAAATAAAAGTTTAAAAAAAAAAAAAGCAAAAAATTAAGAAGATTGCGAAAATAGAGGAAAATGTGGCGATTTGGGCAGAGCATAAAACGCAATTAACGCAACAAAGAAAGAGACAAATACAAAAGACAAACGTAATGTGAAAACTTGAGCTTGAGCTAAAATTGAAATTAAAATTGAAAATAGAAAATTGAAAATAAAAAGACCACCAGCTGCAGCACAAAGAGGAACAGAGACAGAGAGAGCGAGCGAGAGAGAAGGCGCCATGAAGTTTCATTTGGCCGCTTTTTGGTTATTTTTGTTGACAGTTGGCGGCAAGCGGCAGCAGCAATTAAGCGCTGATTGTTGTCACGGGGCAGCCACTTGGGGCATGCCAACTGCAGCTGCAGCTGCAGATGCCACTGCAGCAGTTGCACCAAAGCTAAATTCAATCGATGGCCGCATCGGAAATGAGTCGCAGAACGCAACAAAATTTCGTGTGGCCGCAATTCGAACGCCAGTCGAACCTCCGCCGGTTATTGGGGACATCACAACAACGACAAAAGCAACAACAACATGGCCTTCAGCTCTAACGGATGCCACAACGCTCACGGCCAAAACAATCGCTCAGCTGGCATTCAAGTCGGCCAAGGCAAACACTTTAGAGCTGAGCTTTAAGCAGCGCATGGCTCAGCTATTCGCCAGCGAGGAGCAGCCAGAGTCCACTCTAACAACAACAACAACAGCTGCCACGCCTGACAGCGATAGCAGCACTCACCATCCGGAAAGGCGGCACGTGGTGCCCGACAAGCTGCTCTACACACCGGAGCTGCAAATCAAACAGGGTCGCCTCATGGGCATCACACGTCGCTTCCAGGTAACAAGCGGCCTGCGCGAGGTGGATCAATATTTGGGGCTGCCCTATGCGGAGGCGCCCACTGGGAGCAGGCGCTTCATGCCGCCAGGTGAGTAACATGACTTCTTAGCTATAGTGATGTCAGACCAGCTTGTTTAGAGTTAAAGATTTGTATATTCTATTCAAACATATTTCAAAGTTTATAATAGATTAATTTCATACCATACGTAGCTTTGTTGTATTTTTGCTGCATTTTATTTTATATGTATGTTTCAAATTTTTGAAAAATATACTATCATAAATGAAAATTTGTATAAATGTATTTAAAGTAATTCTATTCAATAATTTAATTTATTGATGAGCTTAATTCTATACTAAGTATTTTATTATTATTACAAAACTATTTTTTTTTTTTTGTTCATTAAAATAACATACAGAATAACTTAGTAAATTTTGTTAATCATCAGATAGTTGTTGGTTGTTTTTTTTTTTTTTTTTCATTTATTAATTTGATTTAATAGAAGCAACTACTTATAATTTAAAAAAATAATATTTATATTTTTAGAATATATTTACATTGTCATATTTTATTATTAAATATATTTTAAAATATATATATATATATTATGTTGAACATTTTTCTTAAATTCTAAAATTAGATTATTTTTAAGCAATTATTCACATATTATAAAAAAAAATATTATTTATACTTTTATTTATAAACAATAAAAAAAAACCTTTTTGGATATTCTCAAATTCAGGTTGATCTGTATTTATAAATATTCCCTTTCAATTTTTGGATTAATTAAAATGAAAATTTGTACACCTATAGACTATAAAAAAAACTCAGATTTTAAGATTAATGATGCATCTATAAATCCTATTAGTGTATGTACATAAATAAAACTGTTTCGAATAGTTTTAAAATAGCTTTATAAATTATATTCCCATTTCCTAAAACTTACACCCGTCATCACTGTTGCATTGGACCTATTGGTACTTAATAGCAGCAGCCGCAACGTAACGAAAATCAAAACCCAAATTGCGATCCGCATGCCGGGAAAACATTCTGACCATGTCTCAAACACATGCTGCAGGCCAATTCAGAATGCAGGCTGTAATTTAAGCAATTATCTTTCCAGGTGAGGATGCGGGTGCAGGTGCGGGTGCGGAGACACCTGGCTGAGGTTGCTGGCATGACTTGACACGTATTGCGAGCCTGCCAGACATTTTTGCAGCTAAATTGGATCCAATTGGAAGTTATTGTTGCAATGAAAATGTTTGTCGACTCGAGTATTTCTCGAATGCATGCACAGCCCAAATGTGTTTATGGAATATCTGTGCAGCTCTGCGTATCATATTTTTGTTTGTTTTATAATTGGGTTTCTCAGTGCCGGCGAGTGCCAAATATGTATGCTAATTACGCACATACAAATTGCAAATATTTGCCAATTATGCGCTTGTTGAATGTCGAATGCCAAATGAGAATTGTAGTAAATACCGAGAGACTGGGCCAAGTTATTTCCGGCTATTGAGTGGCTGGCTGGCCAAGACAGTCGGACAGCCAGGACATTGCCATGCAAAAACCACAATCTACCAACGGCATTCACAAGTGCACAGACAGGATATGGCTCGACTCAGTCCGGGGCCACAATAAATTATGTGGCAACAAAATGTTGCACCATCCAAAGCCACAGGCCATAACAAAAGTGCCTGTCACCAATTCTATTTGTCTGTGTGTGTAAGTGTATCTCGTCTGTGTGTGTGTGTGTGTGCGGTGCAAAGTGCTTGCCACCGCGTTGCGTTTATTGAGCACTTGAGTGGCGCACACTCAATCCATGCAGCAAGTGCAGCAGTAACGGAAGACGGCGGACAGGCCGTGGCTGCTGTTGAGCTCAACACTGACGCCATATTTGTCAGCGGAAACTGTTCCTCTTCTTCTGCTCGCGGTGGTTGTTGTTGCTGTTGGTGTTGCAAACATGTCGACGCGCTGTTGCAACAATAGGGCGCAGAGTTTTGCCTGGCAAATTCAAAGCCAATGCAAATACGAGATTCCTTTGCGTATATGTATATGTGTTGTATGTACAGTTGAAACACACACCCAAACACAAACAAAAACACCCACACACACACATACACAGCCACACACAGCACACGCACACTTTCGAGCAAATAGAAAAAGTTGTCGAAAACACGTCACAAATTGGTTCGCCAGCATTTGTATTTTCTCTCTTTTCGCTGCTCTGGGGAATCGCGCGGGGCTTTATTTATGTACTAACAGCGCGTCCTATTGCCTGTTGCGAAAATTATTAATAACAAAATGCAAATAACGCAACCGACTGACGCGCAGCGCCCCCCATGCCCCGCCCATGTTGCCATGCCTCGTTTGCTGTTTATTGTTGCGGCTCACACAAACACACACACTCCAACACCAACACCCACACAAACACACAAAACTGTGTGACCATGTGCACCAAGATTTCGCTCGCTCTTTGTTTTATGGGCGTCATAACAAAACGCGCCGCGTTCGACAGGCGAAATGAAATTTGTTCGACTCGAATATGTCAAAGTGTAAATGCTGCATATCTGGAATGTTTTGAGATGCCTGAAATTGCCCCGCAATGTAATGGCAAAGAAAGACAATGATGAGGAGAGAGAAAGAGAGAGAGAGACAGAATAGTAGTGAACATAGTGCACGCAATATGAGTTTTCTTTAATGTAATGAAACTTGTCTAAGAGAATTATTTGTAGAAATGTTTTGTCTATAGAATATTTATATCACGCATCAGCAGATATTTCGCCCTTTAATCATATTATTTTTGACAAACAAATTTGCTGCTTTATACAGTACATTTAGCAATGTCGAAAAATCAGACGCTAATCAACCAAAATATTTAATTGTTTGCAAATGTTTTAATTATTTAATTTAATCACATTATCGTGAAATCCCTGATATAAATGCATTGACCATGGCGTTTAATTTTTAAGGAATTTATGAATTAATAATGTTGATAATATTATACATATATGTATATATTATAAATAATAAAGTAGAGACCGAAGCAGAACAATTTATATATTTATATTCATATGCGTGTACTTAGAGTAACTGAGCGCGACACCATTAAAGAGATGATAAACTTAGCAGAGATTATAATACGAGTTATTTTTAGTAGAAACGCCAATCCAATAAACAAATGGACTCTCATATCATTTACATATTTGAAATATATACTCATTTATACTCTGGTCTAATGAAATAAAGTTATTCCCAATACACCTACTAAAAGAAGTGCAAATCTGAATATATTTTCTCCTTTTTTCTAAAATATTTAAATATTTCCATAAATATTTAAAATATACTTTAATGGACAAACCCAACATTTTATAAAGGCATGGCAAAATTGCTAAAACTTTGATAATTATAAATTCACAATCTAATACTTAAAGTACAATTGGCAGCCTCTACTGATTTGCCAAAATTTATATAAATTTAATTAAAGATATGGATTGTAGCAAATGTTGAATGTTAAATGATTTGGAGCTGGCAGCTCAGTTGCGCCCAACTGTCCTGTTCTTATATATATAAACTGCTGAGAGTTTAGCAATATTATCTTTATTCAATCCAATTTATTATACAATATAATAGTCTTTGAGCCCCTTCAAAAGTGGTCTTATCGATTCGATGCCAGTTCCTGCAATTATATTATTACCCACTTACAATATTATCCTTTCTTTAAAATACTTATATTAATAATTAAAATAGCATATTAACTTAATTAGAATTAAGCATCAGACTATCTAATGTTTTATACAACTTTAATCTACATACCCAATGCCAATGCTACGAAACCTCGTTAATGAAAATATTATCTCAAATATTGTCGAACTCGATATCTAGCTGCAGTTGGTAAATTTGCATATTAATTCGTTGGCAAAACTGCATTAAAATTCCATTTTGCGCTTGATAACCCGATCGAAATTTGCATAGCTGTGCGAAATGTTTCCATTTGAATCTTTGGCCAAATATTGTCAGCGACTAACCACTGCACAAACCAAGCCAAGCCAAGCCAAGCTACTGCGATTGGCTGTCCGCTGATGTGGCACGAAGTGTGTCATGGGGCATGCTTAGTGTCTATGTGTGTTTCAGCTGGCTGCTGCAGCAACAATGCAACGGAACCGAAACTAAGTTGACCAAATCGTGGTCACAATTGCCCCACATAAGTTCCACTCACATGCAATGCAAAGCAATGCAAAGGAATGCGACGCGATGCGAGGCGACGTTAACTGAAATGCCAAAAACCCAACCGCAGTCAACTTGGCCACAGTGTCCCGAGTGTCCGCTGCAGGAAGTGTCCTGTTCATGTTGCCTCTCCATGTGCACGAGTGTGAATGCCGGCGTGGCGCTGCCTGTGAGCTCGCATGCGGCTGTCTACTTGTTTACGGCACTTTCAAGTGCCCGTTGACCGTGCTACATAAATACGAAATTGACTTTGTGCTCCCCAAATGCCACGCAAACCAATCGAATTCTTGTTTTTCCGCGGCAACCGGAATAGAGACAAAGAGCGGACAGATAGGGAGTGCGAGAGAGTGAGAGGGAGAGGGAAAAGAGAAAATAACCAAGCGTGGAATCGTTGGTTATAACTGGCACAGTGGGCCATTTACAGTTATATGGGATGTTAGATACGAATTTGTTACATGGTAATCATGAATTGCAATCGAGTAATACTTGAAATGATTTAATACAGTAAATAGTTGCGGTCGATTACTAGCTATTGCATAAACTCATTTACTTATTCCATGTTTAAGGTAGATAAAACGGGATAAGAACTAATCTGTCATCTGGAGAACTAGAAACTCATCTTCCATATTTACTTTAGAATATATTGTAAATATAATATAGCGCAGAGGCGATATACAGTAATTTATTAACTAAAAAACTTGATAGATTTGATAAAACTGTTCATAATGAATATTATGCAATGAGATGACAGACAAAAAGAGTAACGTATATTGACTTTTTCACTTTAAAATTGGTGTTCATGAACAGATAAATATAATAAATATGAGAGCATACCCTCTAAGCACTCAACGGCTAGATATGCTAAAATATATGTCGGGGCGTTGCGTTTCTTATTCATGTTCTCCATCTGAGCTGCGCGTACCAACGAATTCCCGGTGTGTCGCTAAACTCTTTTTAATGCTTTTACTCGTTCAATCGTCTGTGACCAAGTGTGACTTCTCGTCTACTCTCGAAACTTCTAATCATGGTCGCATATTCTTGCTCATCGAAAGCACAGCGACCCTGCTGCGATCAACATAGCTAGCCGTCTCGCTCTCACCCAGCGACAACCGGGACCACGTTCAGTAACAGCTATTGTTGTCTCTCTCTCTTAGTGACAATACATACTTTAATTGCACTACGATACTTAATCAATCGATTAACACGAATTGACAGTCTTTCTCATCACTACTGCACTAAGAAATCAAATTGCAACTTCAACAGTGTAATATCGCACTGACACGACATATATAACATGTGTAACTTGTATGGACTCTTAAGGTAGATAGATGAAATGTGTGCAATCCTCGCGACAAGACAAGAATATGTAAGAGACTAGCGCTGAACCTTACAAACTCAGCGATAGATTATGTAATAGATCAATACTGAGCCTTACACACTCAGCACTAGAAATTATGCATGAGTCTGGCTATATAAACTCGGGCTCAGAAGAATAAAGATCAATACGAAACTAAACACCATCATAGTCAAGTGTATTCGTTCAATTGCTGATTTCCACACCTTCAATAAGGAGACTTATAAATTTGGTTTGCTTTATTATTAATAGCTTAACTATTCCATTTTTTTAAACGTTAAAAGATAAAAACGTTCATGATCTTATGGTACACCTGTTATAGGCATAGGTACTTCTGCCATATCTCCTTGTTCTAGGCTTACCATCCCCAATATTCATAAACTAAAATTGAACAATATAAGTTTCCTTCGATAGATGGTAATTTGAATTTAAAAGAGTGTAATTTGCATTAATATTTAAAGCTTCTTTTAACAACAAATATATTAAATACTATATATTAAAATGTAATAAGATCATAGATAAGTAAATGTAGATAGATTTATATAATTAAAATAATGTAATATTTATTTAGTTATATATTAGTTATTTAGTTATATACAATATTATAATTATATTATACATTTTTTGGTATTTTAATTTTCACCCAGTTATTGCTAGTTGTCGGCACACTGTGCTGTTGACTGCTGCTAGTTTAGCTCGAGTGCTGGCGAAAAAGTGCTTTATGAAAGTTTGTTTTAGCTTATCTAATGGCGTTGCTCCCCTCCGCTTGGCTCTCCCTTGCAGGTGCGCCCTTGCCATGGCAGGGCCTGAAAATCGCGCGTCATTTGCCGCCGGTTTGTCCACAAAAACTGCCGGATGTGTCCGGGCCGAGCAGTGTAAACATGTCACAGGGCCGTTACAGGCACTTGATGCGACTGATGCCCTATCTGAAAACGGAGAGCGAGGACTGCTTGTATCTGAACGTGTACGTGCCGCACACAGGTAACTTAATGATGCACATAGCAAATCCAGAAACTAAAGCCATGTCATCCTCCCTCTGTCTCTCTCTACCCCTTGCAGACCCCGTGGCAGGGACCAAGCAGCACGCCGTGCTTGTTTATTTGCATGGCGAGTCCTTTGAGTGGAACAGCGGCAATGCCTACGATGGCTCCGTTCTGGCCAGTTATGGGGAGGTCATTGTGGTCACTGTCAACTATCGGCTCGGCGTTCTAGGTATGTAGTCTGGGCGTGGCGCCGCCCCAGTCGACCCTAATGGACAGTGTGCTAATTGCCTGTCACGATATGCTTTAGGGTTTATGCGTCCGGGCATCGATGCTCATAATATAGCCAACTATGCGCTGCTCGATCAGATAGCTGCGCTGCACTGGATCAAGGAGAACATCGCGTCCTTCGGTGGGGACAACACGCGCGTCACGCTCATGGGCCACAGCACCGGCGCCGCCTGCGTCAATTACCTAATGGTCTCGCCGGTGGCATCAGGTAAGTGCCACGCCCAAAAATCAAACCAACCAGCTGCCCATTGATTATAATGGCATTTAAATGTAGGTCTATTCCATCGCGCCATTCTCATGTCCGGCTCGGCCATGTCCGACTGGGCCGCCAGCAATCAGTCCCTGCAATTGACCATGCAAATAGCCCAGTCCCTCGACTGTCCGCTGGCTGGCCACGAGGAGGACGATGCTCTGCTGAATTGCCTGCGCCAACGTCGGTGAGTCAATCAATTTATTGAATTATTGAGTGTGGTGCGAGCGTGGTGCACCAGTTCATTTTAATCGCACCACAATGCGCGCTAATGCCTTTTACTGTTGCTGCTGCTCCTCTTGCTGCTGCTGTCCATTATCTTGTTTCGATGTTTGGTCCTAATTTAATTTACGCTGGCATCTTCCAATAGCCCGCCGGCCTGGGCTGTGATTCATTTGTGCTTAATGATTCGATAAATTTACGAGAGAGTGTCGCGCCGCGTTCTCAATGAGCCGTACACGGCCACGCCCACCCACCGTTGTTGCTGGCCATAACTAATCATGCGTGGGCATAAGCCTGCAGCTTAGTTGTAATCCTTTGTATCCATTCTATTCGAAACACGCGCCTAATAAGCGCCACGTTTAGTTGAGTGGTGCGCTGTGGTTGCCGTTAGGCGGTGGTCACTGGGCGCTGGGCGGTGGGCGGTGGGCGGTAGGCGTGCTAGTTAATTGCTTTTCAATTAATCACGTTTTTGGATCGCTTCTTCAGCAACGACAGAGGTCGAGCTCGAGCTCGGCGTCGAGGTCGGTGTCGGTGTCGAGGCTCGTTCACTTAGCGGCCCATTAGGTGACGGGCTCCATAGATTATGCTTTTTATTTGCATTTTTGTTTTTTTTTTTTTTTTTGCGAGACTGATTTTTTAGAATTTTGGTAATGGATTTACTTAAGGAAATCAATTTGTATTTTCAAGCTGAGGAAATAATACAAATGATTTTTGATATTAAATTATAGTTGATCATTTAATTCAATTTAACTATAATTACATAAATTCATAAATTCATTCATATTCGATTCATTTATTCAAATAATATAATAATTTCTTAATTAATACCATTTCAACAATTATTAAAAAAAAAAAAAAATGCACTCAATTTCTGCATATTTATAGCATTATGAACGTGAATTATGAATACTTTTTGGAATTCCTGTGTATTTAATTAGTGCACATGCTCGCATTGCATATGCATGCATTAATATTTTATTTGAACATTTGTTGAAATCAAAGTTTTATTTGCAAAAATTAAAACATTAAAAAAAAAATAAAAATTAAAAACAATAGTTTATCGCGACTTCGGCTCATTTGAATAAATTACTATCATAATATCATAAATTATGCTTCGTTCCTATTTTAATTGCGCATTAGCGCTGTGCAACAACAAGAGCCCGTTCCCTCCCTGCACGGCCACATAATGAAAATGTGCGAAAAGCGAGCGCAAAAGGAAAATGGAAAAACTAAAAAACCATTTGCATACAGAGCGAAATAAAAGCACATGATGTAAAATAATATATGTAAAACAAAATCAACAACGGGACAATAATAGTAATTATGTTAATTATGCCAAGCACATGCACACACTCACACTTGCACTCGCGCTCGCACTTAGACTCACACACACACACAAACACTCAGACTTACACACACGCGCTCTGTCACTAGACAAACATTGCAACAGTCGCTACTTTGCCTGCTTGTTGTGTGTGTGTGTGTGTATGCTTGAGTGTGTGTGTTGCTTTCTTTTGCCAGCTGCAAATTGACACTGTGAGTTGGAAAACTGTTGGGTTTGCTCTGCTCTGCTCACACCCTCCGCTGGGCGCAGTTGAGCCGCAATGAGCTAGAGGCAAAGATAAAGTTTATGCAGCCTAATTATCCGCTCTCAAAATACCCTGCGACAAATATATAAGAAGAGTTTGTGAATGAGAAAAGTTAAAGAGACAGGGAAAAGTTAAATAAATTGATGATATAAATTAAATAAATATGTATAGAAATATATAGCATAGAGAAATAACTTGATCTATTTCATCATCTCTTCAATTATTCTTCTCTTAACGTCCATTCATCACCAATCAGAATCGAAGTGAGAGAGAGACAAAAGAAAAAGCAGAATAGATATATGGACAGACAGGTAAAATTACAGCTACAGATTTTGCTATTTTGAAGAGGTATGAAAATTGCCAAAGTATTTATAATTAGACTTTTAATTTTAAAAGAAAATGAAAGAGGATATATTAAAACTACAAAAATAACTTAATCACTTTTTTAGTTGTATTTCTATATTTTTATAAAATAATATGTATTACCCTTTACGTGCAGTTCTTCTGCCTGTTGAATCAAGCTAGCCTCAAGAGTGCAACCAATGTGTTAATGAGTGAAAAGGCTTTGAAGTACATTTACGTCTGGGTGTGACTGTATGAAGAAGTAAAGTAGTGAATGGGCGCAGTGATGGGGCGCAGTGCATGTGCGAGAGTTAAATGAATGCAATGAATTATATATGAACTACTGTGCACGCACAGACACTCCAACTCAAACAGGTAACACAGCAAAGCAGGTATTTTGGCCACATTCCTATTTATTCTGCACACCCACACACTGCCAGCTAAAAGTAATAAGTTTTGCGTGTGTGATTGTTGTTGCTGTGGTGCGTGTTGCTCCTTTGTGTCTAGCTGCTGCACATATTTAATATTTAATTATAGCACAGTCTGTGCCGTATTTCTTGTAGTTATTCAAATGATTTGCTCATTTCCAAATGTTCAATTTATTTATTTGGGCCCAACTACAACACAGAGTTTGAAGCCTGGAAGCAAATCCATGATTTAATTATTGAACATTACAATGAATGCTGTGAGAGTTTTGTCTGCCAGTGAGCTGTGCGCATTTCATTTTCTTTGTAGCTAATTATTAATTTACAAATGCATTTGCATTGCAGTTAACGCTGTGCTAATATTTCGCTTAGCTGATTGCAAAATGCAAATGAATAATTTATGCAAATTGCACTACTCGACACACACACCAGCCCACACACACACACACATGCACGCAACTCAAATGAATGTGGTGGCTGTTAAATAAGGAATGAGCATAACTAATTGATATGAAGAACTTTCTAAATTCTACAACAATTTGATTTGAATGAAGGCATAAAATATGAAGCCATTTATTTGAGTTTCCCTCGCACTGCATACGGCATTTAAGCAGACAGAGAGCTACAGCTGGTGTGCACCTAATCGCCTTAGAACTGACGCTCTGCAGTGAGAGAATGAGAAATGCAAACAAATTCGAGAAAAATATCATGCATATCAAGTATACGCCCGGCAGCACACAAAAAATTAACTTGTGCGTGTAAACAAATGTTTGCATTGTGCTCGTTTGAGCTCTTTTAATTGAAAACAACAAAACAACAAAAAGGAAAGCATATTAAAAATTCATTAAACAGAAACCATCAACTACAACAAAATAAGGTCGATCTTAGTCTAAATAAATGTTGGTCCTGCAGCAACTAACTTACGAGTGCGAGCTGCTTAAGTAGCTGCATGTTGCACACAAGCAGTGTCATCAATCTTCGTTGATGCCACACACATACATATATACACACACACACTTACACACAGAGACAAGCACTTTTATATATGTGTCTATGTATATAAGTATATTGAAAGTGCACGCCAGACAAATTTGTGCATTGTATTCGAGTTGCCTGCACAAAACTCTGACAAATATATTTACTCAAATAGCACAATGGCTTGATACATAAAGTCACTTGAATAGGTACAGGAATTGTGCTGCAACAATATTTATTTAGTTAAATTCAGAAATGTTACGCAGAGGGTTGGCAATGTAATTCTAAACTGTAGAAGTACAGTTCTGAACATTAAAAGAAAACCAAGGTTTAAAAATTTCAGAGTAAATATTTAAATAATACAATAAGGAAAGAAGATTATTAAAAGGTAATCATACAAACTAAAATAAAAATTATAACAAAATTATTTTAAACACACATAGATTATTAAATAAGAAAAAGTTATAAAAAAGCTTATTAAATTTGATTAAATGAGATTACATTAAGATTATAAATTATAACTATAAGTGAATCAAACAATGTGAAAACCCTGTTTTAATAAAAAATTATAAAAAACTATATGATTTAAAAAAATATATATATTATTTGTATAATCATGAACAGCATTAGAATAAAACTAATACTAATAAAAGGAAAAGATCTTATTTCCATAAATTGCAATGCGATTATAATATTTAATTAAATCGATATGGCAAAAGTTAATATATACAAATTTTAATCCAATATACGTACATATAATGCAACATATCATATAGATACAATATATCGTATAATAATTTAAAATGATTTTCAATAAAAACTTAAAAATAAATTAAAAAAAAAAAAAAAAAAAAATTAAGAAATAATAGTTTATTTATTTAATCAATTATTAAACTATTGAAATTATATAATTATAATTATATTAAAAAAAAAAGGCTTAAAGATATTTTTAATATTTAATTAAGTAAAAGAAGTAATTATGGAAATTATTGGTTAAAATTTTTACCAAAATTAAAAAAAAAATATTGATTTATTTGCTTTTAATTGTTTATGTGATATAATATGGTTTAGTTTGTAATTGATATCAAATCATTTATTCATGTTAATTATTTATTAAAATTGGCCTGAAATTATTTGATTTGATAGATAAATATTTGTAGATAAATATTTATTTCATATAAAATGTTAAGTTGTTTCTATGCAGCTGCTCAGCACTGTGCGCCCGCACATGTCTGCATCTGAGCCAACTATTGCTAACAAGTTAATCGCAGCTGCAGTTCAACTTGCGACAGTTTTGCGACAGAGCGTAGCTAATAAGAGCAGCAGCAGCAGCAGCAGAAACAATGCAGGAACAATGTTGGATGGAAAGAGCGCAGGTTCTGTGCCACATATGAAAATCATAAATCACATATACGACACGCGTCAAAAACTTTGCGCTCTGCAGCTGAAACTCAATTGAAGCGCTGCCACAACAAGCGGAACATTGGCTTGAGAAGTCCCTGCAGCCAGTCACAATTTGTCGAGCACACTGTCTGTGGGCTAAACAGAAACACAGGCGATAAACTTGGTCATGTGTCGATGGCCACGCCCCGAAAGACAATTGGCGTTGACCGCAGTAGAGCCGATGCCTGCATCGGACCCGGAACATGTCTCGACCATTGACCATGCCAACAGCAGCCGCACAAACTACTGCGGTTGATTAAGTCTTTAAGTGTTTGCGGTGCTGGGCTGAGGTGGAGGTGGATCGTTGGGTGGTGCGGCTGCCAGGGAATGCAGCTTAAGTGCTTTAAGATGATATTGCCCGAAGGGAGCTTTAAGTGCGCTTTTGTAAAATCAGGCGGGTCAATTAATTCAATTACCGCTAAATGGCGCTTGTCCTTCACATTTATTCAAATCAATGCACACGTAAGCCACATGTGCTTAAAAAGGTACGTTCTGTGCTCATTAAGGGTAGTCCCTATATTCCGTTTCAACATCCAATTGACATTTTGTAAATGTGAAGCTGCAAAATTTTCAAATAAAATTCGATTTTCGACTGCACCAGGCTATGGAATATATAATGTTAGCGCATACCCTGTTGAGGTGAGAAAAGTAAAAGAGGGTATATAAAATGCAGACAAATTAGAATTTATATTAAAAAAAAAAAATAAAAATTAAATAAAATATTTCTGTTACATTTGTACTAAATAAAATACATTTTAACTAATGCAAATTAATAAATAAAATGAATATACAATTACTAGTTTTAAGGAATAGTACAAGAAGGTACGAAGAATGCAGAAAAATAAAATTTATTATAAAAAAATAATAATAAAATAAAATTTGTTTACTAATAAAAATTAATAAATAAAATGAATATACTATTATTAGTTTTAAGCAAAAATGTATAGGAAATCTTCTAGTCGCGCTTTGTTTGTTTGCTTGTACGGACTGTCTGCATTTGTGAGATAAAATTGTGCTGCCTGCAATTGCATATTTGCTTCGGTTTTTTTACTTAATTCTTACCAACATCAATGCTCTTTGCCAGAGTGAAACTCTGGCATCTGAATTTTTATGCAAACTACTACAGAAATTGGACCCAGTCGAACTATTCGGCAACGAAATATTGCAGCAATAGCAACAACAACAGCAACAGCCACGCCAGCAGCAACAATGAAATTTACATCGGGGCAAAAAGTGCATGCGCTTATGGGATTTTTCGTCGATGATGTCTATATATGTTTATTGCATTCCAAATATGATATTCTGTTTGGCCCAGAGTTTATTGTCTTGCTGAAAGAGTAGTTGAATGCAAATGCGTTCATTTGACGTATACGTACATTGGCTTCGGCACATACAAATACGTTTCTAATTTGGTACTGTTCGCTAGGTCTCACTCCATTTGGTTAAAGTAAATTTAAGCAACAGCTGTGGTGAGGCAATCGAATAGCAAAAATCCCCTTTCAAGCCATATGTGTATCTGTTGGGATGTATCTTTATGTGGCGCACGTGTGTGTGCGTGGGGTCCAGCAACAAATCACACATAAAATTTATTAGAAATTTCAAATCAAAGTGAAAAGTAGCCGCTGTCATTTACACGCATACACACGTACACACTCACTCACTCACACTCACACACTGGCACACTCACACGCGCACTCAGTGACTCATTCATCCAGTTATATGACCTTTTTACGCCATTTGTCTGATGCTTTCTTTTTGGTCTTTGCAGCTACCAGGATATCTTGCACATACCAACATCGTTTCAACAATTTTCAACATCATTGGGTCCAATTGTCGATGGACACGTAATACCAAATCAACCATACAAGGTCATGGGGCATTATACGGAGCATTTCAGCCGGTTTGTTAAGCAATTGCTGTCGCAGCTCTCTATCACTATCTCACTCTCTCTCTGTCTCTGTCTTTATATATACTTTTTGGCTTTAGCTTTTGATATTTGCTTCAGACCTGCCAAATAGCCCAAGGACTATTTATTTATTGTTGCGTTACTTGATTAGATGTTTGGCATGTGGCATGTGGCATGTGGTATGTGGCATGTTCTGACCCTCAGGTAAAATTAAATCGCTCGTGAAATCCAAGTATGCATTTTGAACGAATTGAGCAGCTATTGGGATCGCTTCAAATGCCACTTGTTGGACCCTCAGGCTGTGTTAACACTCCAGTTAATGGCATGTTCTAATGCTTCGCTGCTTCGAGCAGGCTCTAGACTCAGAGGCGCCAACAAATATTCATGAATGCCAAACAAATTGCCAGAGCTGCAGAGAAATAGGTAATTGTTGGCTCAGACAGGCTAATCATTGGATGCTTTTGCAAATATTTCCAATATGCTATTAGCATTTTCGCAGCATATTCGCGAAAGGTAAACGTAACCCAAAGTCCTTGAAGCTTAACAATGCAAAAGCTTTTAGTCAGGCAAAAAAAAAAGTATTGTGTTAATATTGAGAAATCCTATACGAACATTTCATAAAAATCAGCAAGAAACTTCAAGTGAGAACAGGTGAAATGGTATATAAGTTCAATATATATATATATGCGCAAATATAGCTTGATTTCAAACTGAAATTTTTCATTAAAATTAGCAAGCTACAATATAAAGTTCAATTTGTGTTACTATCTTTTAAATAATTTGCATTTTTTTTTTCATTTATTAATTATTACAGACATATTTCAATATCCCTGTTTAGCCTTAAAAACATAAATCAGTAGCTAAATATTACATATTTCAATATCTCTGCAAACCTTAATGCCCATAACTCATTATTTATTTAATTAAACTTTTTAATATCTCTGTTAGGCTTTAAAAAACATAATTTAATTGTTCCATATTTCAATATCTTTATTAAGCTTTAAAAAGGCATAACTCATTCTCTGGCCAACTTCCACGCAAAGTTTATTTAAATTGAAAACATGCAAAGCTTTAAGATTTTCATTTTCTTTTCATTTGCCGTCTTTGCGGATTTCAGATACCCGCGCAGCCTAATATTTTAAGCTCGCCAAGCATTTGCGATAATATCGAGCTGAGTTGCTGTTGTATCCACATCAATCAATCAGGCAACAAGTAATAACTCAGGCCTTAACAAAGGGTTCAGCATTTCAGCATTTTTCTTGCTCCTATCAGCTTCTTTTGTTATCTGAGCTGCTGTTTCTCTCATTCTTTATCTCTCTCACCCTCAATCTGTCTCTCTCTATCTCTCCCTCTCTCTCACTACTTCCTGCTCAATCTCATTTCCTGCGACTCTGACGCGTACGTTGTGGAACGTGTTCATTCGCTTTTGGGATGCTACGCATAATCGAATAAAATGCGTGATTAATTGGATTTTAATTGTTATCCTTTTGCAAGTCGAACGTGTTTTAGCCGTCGACAAGAAGCTGCGTGCGAAAAAAAAAAAAATAGTAGAATAATAGCTGAGCGGAAGTGCCATTAATTACGGTCGGTAGGCAGAAGGGCGCCAGGACGTGGCTGGGGCTCGGGCTAAAGCTAACTGCAAACTTGGTACAAACTAAATGGAAACAGGTTTGGCACGTTTACAGGTCTGAGTTTTGCGCATTCAGTTCGTTTCGCATTTCACTTTTAAGCACTTTAATGAAATGACCATAGATCAAAGCGGTAAGCAGAGGAAGGCGTTAAGCAAGGACAACAATTATCGAGCGTCAGCTTCATCTACCAGTCGCTCTACCTCTGTAACTCTCTCTCTCTCTCTCTCTCTCTCCTTCTCTCTGTCTGCCTGTCTCTCTGCATTTTGCATTTACTTTTATCGACTGGTGGCAAAAACGTGACCAGACACTAATAACTTCGTCTTTGCCGTTTGTTGGGCGGCAGGACATCAGGCGCGCAACAGGACACAAACTGTATAGCTGAGTGCCGCCCATTGGGCGGGCTGGCCATTCAAGCATTTACCATTTATCAGGCAGCGTAACAAGTGACGCCGCAGGACCCCATTTTATTCCAGCGCTTTTAAATGCCGTTAACGGCATCAAGTTGTCTGCAATAAGCGAAGGCTGCACTGAGCGCAATTTAGAAGCTATAAATTAGAGTAATTTTAATTAAGTGCTGTAAAATATTAAGATAGTGAGTCTCTTTAGATAACAAAAATAATATATGTATATTTTTAGCTAGTTTCAGCATATCCTAATACAATTATTAACATGTGACTAATATATGTATTACATACATCTATATATAATTAGAAGACTGTGTGCATTGCCTTTATTTACTTCACACAGCTGATTTCTCGCAGTGTGAAAAATTACTTCCTCTACTTATATAAATGTAAGGCAAGCCTAACTACTCACACACTTACTCTAAGCCATAGCTCTATAGACTGATTCCCAGCTCATGCGCTTGCTCTCATTTGCTCTGTCTGACCCACCATTACCGTCTGTCTATTTCTCCCCCTCTATCTATCTATCTCTCTCTCTCTCTTTCTCTTTCTCTTTCTCATACACCTCCCTTTACTGTCTCTTGCAGTTATGATTTATTATTCGGCATCACGGAGTCAGAATCCTATCATACATTGGCCGCATTAGCACTCGAGGAAGGATTATCTGAAAATGAACGTGATAATTTATTGCGCTTCTATATGCAGAGTCGCTTTGATGTTCGCCCCGATTTGGCATTGGCTGCCACGCTAAAAAAGTAAGTGAAATTTATGCGCTATTTTATGATGGGCGTGAAATACAAACCGACCTCGCGCACCAGGGGCTGGATAGACTTACAACTTGCCTGCAGTTAACACTTTGAGCGCGCATAAACACAAACACATACACACACACACATGCATTGATATCGTTTATCTCAATTAGAATTGTTTATGTGGCAATTTGTTGGCCTTAAGTGGCAAGGATTAGAGTCGCCTCGCCAGCGCCTACAAAATGCCTCGGCTAATGTCACAAACTGCTGCACATTAGCTTTGCTTCAAATTAAAATTGATGCGCAGTGTAGTCTAGCTTAAAATTGAAAAAAAAAGAAGAAAAATACCCACAGTCAATTGTTGGATTTTTTTCTAGTGTTATTCAGTTGCGTTCGCAAAGGTAGTTGGGGCAATAAATCGCATTAGAAATATTCCCGCATGTCTGAAAATAAGCAAGAGCTTTACCCAAGTTCAATAAAACTACGATTTATTGCATTCATTTTGGGAATTTTTTTTTTATTCCATTTAAATGGGAAGTTATTGTCGAAACTGGTGATACTGGAGTACCTCGTATATATATATATAAAAAAAAAAAAATCACAATGACTATTCTTGTATATCATTTATCATATTTATTTTATGCCTTCACTATATCGATAAACTAATTTGCATTTTTAGACGTAGCTTGACATATCATATCTAGTGTGTCAATTCCTATTATAATATAAATACATAGTTTTGGAATATGAAATCCAGTCGGCTTTTCAAAATAGAAAATAAAATCAGCAATAAATAGTGTAGAATTACCGAATGCATGGCCAAATAGAAAACTCCTAATAGAGTATATGAAATTTGTATATATGAGGCTCTCCATCCTAATAACATTGATGCTCTACAAATCCACCTCGTTATTAATCTAAGACCCAGGTCCACAATTAAATTTTGGATTCCTTCCTCCATTTTTACTACATAGTTTAAAAGAAAGACTCATTTCATATATATGAAAATTGAATAAAATTTTTAATTTATTCAAGCCATAATCAATTAATATTTTAAATAATTTTGCGAAAATTAACTTTTTGGCATCTTCTTCATTTTATTTTGATTAGTTTGCTAATTACGAATATTAATTCTATGCATACATACACATATACGATTTTTTTTTTTTTTTTTTTTTTTTGAATTTTGGTTTATTAAGTGTAGAAACTGTACAATCACATATAGTACTTTAACAACACATATATATACATAAAATTAGAGCCAAACCTCACTCAATTTGTGAGGACTGAGAAAAAAAAGAAAAATAATAATAATAATATTTATTGAATACCCATTGTTTTGGCAAAGCCCTGCCGTTTAAGTCGTCTTAGGGGTCTGGCAGGTGTTAGACCTCTTGCGAGTAGGCTTTGATGTCGTACAAGTCTGTCTGAGTATCTGCTTGTGTGTTTATTTATTTGTTCTTCGACAGTAGACAGCTTGAGGTCTCTATGCAGTGTTGAGCCGCGTATGTACCAGGGACAGTTTGTTATCTGCCTTAACACTCTGTTCTGCAAAACCTGCACTCTTTTATAATTCGATTTTTGCAGCGATCCCCCAGATTTGCACTCCATAGAGCCATATTGGTAGGATGCAGTGCACATAGACAGCTCTTTTTGCATCTCAGCGGTAAGGTGCTCTTTCTATTGGTGAGCCATCTTAATTGTTGCAGTCTGTGACGACATTTTTTCACCGTAGCTTTGAGGTGTGGACCAAAGGTGAGGCGCTTGTCCAGTGTGATGCCAAGATATTTCACCTGAGCAGGCTGCTGTAGGGTTACTCTCGACATCTGGATTGGGGGGTATGCATTGCCAGCCTTTTTTAGAGTGAAGCAAGGGTTCAATGTTTTTAGCGGGTTAACTTTGAGATTCCACCGCTTGCACCAATCAGCGAGAGTATCCAGATATCTCTGTAGTCCTGTACTTGCTTCAACCACGTTTTTTGAGTTATAGATGATGGCAATATCATCAGCATATGTGGCAATGACAGCTTTCGAGGGAGCATCCATATGTTGAGAGGACGGGCTAGGTATATCAGAGGTGTACAAGGAGAACAGCAGCGGACCAAGAACACTGCCCTGCGGCACTCCTGCTCTCATAGGGTATGTGGACGAGAGTGTATCTTTTACCTTGACTTGGAACACACGGTCTTCTAGATAAGATCTTAAGAGGCCATAGTACGGAGCAGGTAGAAGGTTTTTTATTTTGTACAGTAATCCATCGTGCCACACCTTATCAAACGCTTGCTGCATGTCGATAAAGACAGCATTGGAGTATTCAGAGTCATCAAAAGCCTGCAAGATGTGTTTCACCAGTCTATGGACCTGTTCCACTGTGCTGTGTCCCTCCCGGAATCCAAATTGGTGATCCGGTAGGATATTGGATTGTCTAAATATTGCGTTAATGCGGTTGGCAATGGTCCTCTCCCATAGTTTAGACAAGGAGGGCAGTAGACTTATAGGCCGATATGACTCTGGATCCTCTTCCGGCTTGCCAGGCTTGTGGATCATCAAGATAGCAGCTAATTTCCATTGCCTTGGGAACACTTGGAGCCTGATGATGGCATTGAAGATTAGTGCAATGTAAAGTAGCGCTCTTGTAGGTAAGGCCTTCAGCGTTGCGTTGCAAATCTTGTCTATTCCGGGAGCTTTATTTTTCGGCAATATTTGGATCGCTTCGGTAATTTCTTCAATCCTTATAGGCTCAATAGGCAGAGACATCTGCAAGGGGGTCTGCAAATATAGCTGTATCTCCATGGTCTGCTCCGTCGTAGCATAACTAAATGGAGTAAAACGTTCTTCTAGATGACATCCGAATGCGTTAGCCTGTTCCAATTCGCATTTAGCAACTTCGCCGTTAGGGCATCGGACAGGTACCTGTCTAAAAGGTTGTCGTTTGAGTGATTTTGTGCATTTCCATAACGAATAGTTTGCATCAATAGTGTAGTCCATGGAAGCCAGTTTTTGCTCGAAGAAATCGCTTCTGAGTTCCCTTAAAAGGTTACGTAGCTGTCTTGCTACCCGGTTCCACAAAAGGCGGTCCCAAGGATCTTGGGATCGAATTGCTCTTCTACGAAGGCGCCTTTTTGTTCTGATGAGTTCTTTGGCTTCTCTCGTTAGAACAATGCCATAATTATTGGGACGAGGCGCAGGATTAAGCGGCGTTGTAGCAGCAGCAGCTCTATATATGTTCTCCGAGAGATTATCAACCGCATTCTCGATGTCTTCGCCGGAGTTCAGACACAAATTCAAATGAATGGAGTCATCTAGCTGTTGTCTGAAAGCCTCGATGTCAGTACGGCTGGTTATTAGCCTTGGGCTTGGCCTGATATAATGACCATCGATGTGTAACTCGGCAATAAGGGCTAAATGGTCAGAGTCTAAGTCCCAGCTTTGGTAAATATTTGCTTGATAATGCTGTATCCCATGGTATAATGCAAAATCAATGCAAGAGGGAGTATGACTGGATATATATGGGTACCTAGTAGGAGAACCTGTTGCAAGAATATTAGCTCCTCTGGCCGTGATGGCTTCTGCTAGTTCTCTTCCCCTGGGTGAATTGTATGAATCTCCCCACAGCCAGTGTCGTGCATTCCAGTCACCACCAATAAGATACCTTTGGCCGCAAGAAGCGAGTATGTCGCTGAATTGTCTTTCTTCTATTCTGTTCCTTGGTGGGCAGTATATGGCGCAAAATTCGATGTCTCCCAATCCAGTGGCAACTTTGATTGCAGACATTTGTATATTTTGAGTTTCAATAACCCTTTGTGGGAAGTGGCGCAGTGAACTTCTAACGAATATAGCCGCTCCTCCCATACCATGGTTGTGGCTTGATGGCTTGTAAGCTGGATAGAAGGTGTAGCCATATATTTTGACTGTATCTCCTCGATTCAGTCTGATTTCATTTAATAGTAGAATGTCGATGTTGTTGTTGTGCGCGAATAGCTCCACATCTCTGGCTTTTCCTGCAATGCCATTGACATTCCAGATGAGAATCTTGAGTGGGTTCATTGTGAGGCTGAGGCGTTGTTAAGAAGCTGGTGAGTCGATGAATCCCCAGTCCATTGCTTGAGCATGCTGGCCATTTCGTGGACCATTTTTTCTAGACGTTCTAGTCGTTCACTGTTTCTCTTGTTTTGTTGTTGCTGTTCGCGTTGTTGTGCTTGAAGCCATGAAAGAAATTGCTGCTGTTGCTGCACTTGCAAGTCTTTTTGCCATTTCAAAAATTGTTGTTGTTGTTGTTCCAGTAAAGATTGGACATCAACTTGATGCTGCTGCTGTGCGATATGTCCTATAGGTTTAGCTAACTGGGCTTGCGCTTGAATATTATGTATGCGGCTTTGAGCAGATGCGCTTCCATTTCTTGCTACCGCGGCATAGGATATTCCACCTGCTCCAACTCCAGAAGTATTTGATAGCTGCTGTGGTTGTGGTTGTGGACGTGTTGGTTGATGCTGGTGCTTCCGTTGTGGCTGTTGTGGTCTTGCTTGATTCTTCTTGATCGTAGAGGAGCCCAGTGAACGTCGATAGAACTCCTGGTACCACGGGCAGCCTTTGTAGCTTGCCATGTGGTTACCTCCACAGTGAAGGCAGGTAGGCGGGTGCATCTTGTGAACGTGCGCAAAGATTGGTGGGATGGTCCTCGCCACAGCGTGCACAGTTAGGATGGCGACGGCAGTATTTGGCTGTATGGCCATATTCTTGGCATCGGGTACATATGACGATTTCAGAAGTTTTACGCATCCTTTCAACTCTCACCATTTGGCGGCAAAGTGTTTTTATATTGTAAACTTCGTTAATGTTTTTACAAGGTTTTATGTTTACAAAAAATATATTTAATTTTGCATCCCTGTTTGACCGTGACCTTGGGTTGTGAATTTGCAGAGCATCGAAGCCATATTTTTTAAAATTGGCAATTATTTCATTGTTCAAGGTACTATGGTGTAGCCCTCTTACTACAATTCTGTAAGG